TTGAAATACAATCCTTTTAGGAAGTATAAAACAGAGAATATATAAAATGAGAACTTTCTGCTCTTTCCTTCCTTAAAAGAATAGAGAACAGGAGCGAGTGAGAATGGAGTTGTTAAGTAGCATGTTTTGAAGATCTCTTTGCATCTGACTTAAAAACTAATTGTTGATCTCTTTTTGGAAAAAAAAAAATGACTTTATTCTAGAGTTGTTAAAGCCTTCATTGATACGTACAGTCTCAGTTTTCCCTTTGCCACTTTGAGGACAGTCACCTGTACTACTCCTTTTTTACTCTGCATTTTTATGCAAGGTGGACTCCATCAAAAAATGTATCCAGGGAACACAGTACAAGATTGTACTTGATAACCATAGATACAAAGTCATAATAAAATGAACACCTTTTCGGTTGTAGTAATTCAGGTGAATATGAATTTTGCATGAGATCAGTATCTATGTAAACAGGGGTGGGGAACATCCGGCCCTCTGGCTGCACAGGCCCGAGAAATCATTTGGTTTGGCCCTACCTAGGCAACGGCAGGCAGGACTCGAAATTCAATAAATGTAGGAGCTTTTTTCATAGCAACATAAACTTATATTAAGCAAATGATGTTCTAAATATCCAAATGGCCGTTGGCAGGAAAAAAGGTTCCCCACACCTGATAAATTATACTAATATAATGGGATTCTATGAAAAAATGTTCCCTAAGTCTCTGTTTCATGCTTCATGTGTAATCACCACCTATTAGTTGTCTTAGAATACTGAGTTTCAGCTTCTTAACAAATGTGTATATGAGCTTTAGATTGGTTTTAAATTTTGTACATTGGTTCTATAACAATCTACGTGATGACACATCACAGATATATGTCACCTCTTATGAGCATTTTATCGCAACTCAGAAAACAGTCCTATGTACTTAGCCACAGTATTGAAGTCTTCATTTTAAAAACAATGTAATCTCATTCATTAAACAATTCTGTACATTTATTTAGACATCAGTTTTAGAAATTTTGAGACATATACAAGCACAAAACCAGCAATAAACAAGCTTCTGTGAAGATTTGGCATGATTGATGGTCTAAACTTTTCATAGAAATTTTAATTATTCCATATAGTTTTAGAAATAAATACTCTGCAGTCTCTCTGTGTCACTCATCTTCCAGTGTTCTGTATATTTCAAGAGCAGCTTTTGGGGTTAAAGTGTGAAAATAAGTAGTAAATATGTGTGCCTAAAATTGTAAAGCACAAAATTTTCCTATTTTCTGTCTCTGACTTGATCCAAATACAAAATAATTATTAAATGATTGTTGTGCAAAAGATTGAAAACCAACCACTAATTTGGGGTCAAAACCAATGAAAATATTAAAAGTATTAAATAAATAAAAAGCCTAATTTGCCGGGTTGCATGGCTCAGTTGGTTAGAGCATAATCCCATATACCAGAAAGGGCAGGGCACATACCAGATTGCAGGTTTGAACCCAGGTCCCTCCCTCCCTCACTCCCTCCCTCCCTCCCTCCCTTCCTCCCTTGCCTCCTTCCCTTCAGCATGGTCACGGGGTCTTTTATAGTTCAGTTTTACAAGAGCTTCTGCAATGCTTTTTTCTGTAACATGGTCCCAAGATCTTTCATATAATCAGAAAGTGTTAAGTAGAAATATATGTGCACTTTTTAAATAGTCATTTACATCTGGCATGATTAAGCAATTATGTTTACTTGAAATATCTTGGATCTAGCAATAGGTAAATCTGGTAAGTTTTGAGGTAACACTTTTTTTTCAACTTAAAATATTTTTAAGAAATCCACCAAACCTATGTACTTTGATAAGCAAACTGTTCTTATTGTATAGTATGTCATCATTTTCTTCTATAATTTCATGGTTTAGAAAATCAGAACTCATTTGTAAAATCTATGAAGGCTGCCAAAACCGGTTTGGCTCAGTGGATAGAGCGTCGGCCTGCGGACTGAAAGGTCCCAGGTTCGATTCCGATCAAGGGCATGTACCTGGGTTGCGGGCACATACCCAGTGGGAGATGTGCAGGAGGCAGCTGATCGATGTTTCTAACTCTCTATTTCTCTCCCTTCCTCTCTTTAAAAAATCAATAAAATATATTTAAAAAAAAATCTATGAAGGCTGATTTCACCTATACTTCCACATTCTACTCACTCATTTCTTTCCATGTAGTTTCCTAGATATTTGTTTATTTATGTATTTATTTTTACCAATATTGTGAAGTTTAGAAATTGTGCATGTATTCATGTATGTATTTTTCCCCTGCTCAGATATATGCATAAACTAAGTACATATATGAGAGTGAATTTTAAGGCCAATGAACTTAAACTCAGAAACAGACATCCTCTTGTGCAGTGCCTATAGATGTCCACTTCCTAACCACATCCAGGGCCTCTGCTCAAATTCTCTTAAAACCTAACCGCAACTCACGCCCAACGGCTAAAATTATTTGTGACTTTAATGTCGTGTCTGGTTTTCCTGGGCTAACAAATGGCTGCCAAGGTAACAAAACTTATATGCCATTGACATGATTTCTTCCTTTTCCACTTGCCATTTGTCCACTTCTACCAGGAATTTATTTTGTGGGAATAAGTTTCATGCTCTGTTATCTTTATGTATTTCTACGGTTGGGTAAGAAGGGATTTTTTTCTTTGACAGTAATCTCCATTACCATTTGGATTTATCAGTCCCTTAAATTATTAATACAAATAAAGCACTTTGCTGTGCAGCAATATGACACTACACATTGAAGATAAATTCATATTTCTGTAATTAAATAAGCAGGGATCATCCACTTTATCAGCTTGATGAACTGTAGTGGCATAAAGCACTTCAACCGTATGGCGGTGCCTCGCTGATGGCACTCGGGTTTGGCAGGCATTTATTCATTCATCCACTGAATAAATATTGAACACTTTCTATATTCCAAGTGCTGTACTAGGTGTTGGGAAAAATCCACAGTGCACGTGCATCGATCTGATTGTAACCTAGGGTTAGAGGGCCACTCAAGAGACAAAGCCTTTTTATTACAAGGCCATCCCAAGTGCACTTCCTTTTTCTAAAGTAGGTAGTTTTGTCTTATCCCCCATGAGGTGACCTGTGAGATAATCTGATTTATGGCATAGAGAGATTTGACCATGGGTTTTAGGATAGGTTACTTAACACCATTTTCCCAAAAACCTAGACTCTTGGAACTATCACGAATTAACATAAGCACCCCCAGCAGATCTTGTCTTTTCGCTCAGTATGGCATGGGCATTTAAACTGATGATTCCTCATTGAACTGGGCTGGTGAACAGAGTAATCTAATAGAAACACAGTACCTGTTAAAGTTAATTCTTCTCCAATTGCCTACTAAACTCAAAGGAAAATGTAGTTACTATGAAGAAATATAAATAAATCGTAAGGTGTTTGTTTTTTAACCATGAAAGCAATAATGTAACCTGAAAAATTAAAATCTTCACAAGAAAATGTTAATTTGTTTACAAAATGAATGCTCCCAAAAATACAAAGCACATTTTGTGTAGGCCTAACTTAAAAAAAACTGTTGTGTTTGTTGGGAAATTTTTTTAAAGTGCAATTCTCAAAACTTAATGTAGTAATCTACTTATGCCGAAAAGATATAAAGCTTAGCTATTAAGGTTAGTATAGATGTAGACGGTAAGAAAAACATTTCATAATAAATATTTAGATATGCTACTCTGAGGAGAGGGCAGAGAAATTGCTGTGAGGGAGTCAATATTATTGTTTTCTTGTCCAATAAATAGGTCAAACTATGGAAACTCTTTATGGAATCCTCAACATTTTATTGGTTTTAGAATCTGAGTTAGTGTTTAAATATCCAAAAGACTGGAGAATACTTTTAGTGAAACTAATCAGAGAACATATTGAACCAGAGTACCTATATTTAGCGAATTTGTAGGAATTTGTTAATTATTGTAGGAATTAACAATGTATGCAAAAAAAGGAACATTTAGCAATATGAATAGTCACAAGTCCTCCCATATTTAAAATAAGTAAAATTGGCTCTTATTCAGATAATAAGTAAACCTAATTCCAACCCAACCAAAACTTAAACTTTGTAATGTTAGCAGCTAATTTACATATTAAACAATACCTAAATAAAACCAGTACCAATGAATATTGTGATACATTTTTTTCGTTAATCCTCACTCAAGGATATATTTTTTTCCCATTGATTTTTAGACAGAGTGAGAGAGAGGGAAGGGGAGAGAGAGAGAGAGAGAGAGAGAGAGAGAGAGAGAGAAACATCAATGTGTGAGAGACCCATGGTTGGGTTGTCTCCTGCCTTGGGGTGGGGATCCTGCAACTCAGGTAGTACCCTTGACGAGAATCAAACCCTCGACCCCTTGGTCCAAGGGTGGATGCTCCAACCACTGAGCAAAAACAGCCAGGGCTTATGGACACATTTTAAAATCTTAATTCAACTTTTTTTTTTTAAGTAAGGGGGCAAAAGAGTGACACAGAAAAAGAGAGAGAGTAAAAGAGAACACAGAAGATCAAGGACTTTGAACAAAAACAAATGGTTGCCTTATCTTTGATGATCTACGCATTAAATCCCCCATGTGCTCAGTATATGGGAATATTAACTTTCCCCACCCCACCCCCACCACAGACTAAGATGACTTATAAAGAATCACATATTCAGCTACAAATGGCAGAGGCCCCAAAACATTAGATTGTTATTAATATATTTCCCTTGTTTGTGTTTCAATACTCCTGGCACACAGGGGATTATCTATGCTGAGACCATTTGTCCTTATATCAAAAATTCTACTTCAATGCATAAACAGTGGCATGCCAGAGATGCCTAAATTCACAGTAAGTTTTAAGGCTATTTGTTGCCGAAAGCTGTGAACATGCATGTTGACTAAGTGTTCTCATTCATGCTCCTGTCTGTATTACTTCATTGGATAATGAGATAGGTTGCCCTTTCTGTCCATCATTAGAGCAGCTGGAGACAGCATTTGCTACCTGGCAAAACTTCCGAAGAAGGATCTTTCTTAGCAGCAGATAGACCCAGGGATCCAAGATCTGGTTCAGTGAAGCCAGGCGCACAGCTATTAAGAAGAAGTTGCATTCCTTCTGCTTTTCTGGGTGCGTCTTGCAGTGTTCAACTGATGTCTGATTGAAGATCATTTTCAACATCATTATCTAAGAAAGAGGGACAAATAATTGTTTCAAAGATTAATAAGGTCATCTGCATTTCCTTTAAATAGCACTTTGCACATAGTCAGTTTACAGTACATTGGTGGTTGCAGTGAAATGAATTCAAGCAGCATTTGTGCTAACAGAACACAGCCCTGAATCATACAAGATATTCCTGTGGATGTTCCCACATTTTTGGCTATTTGACAGGATGCAGCTTTTTTTTTTTTTTAAATATTTTTTTTTATTGATTTTTTTACAGAGAGGAAGGGAGAGAGATAGAGAGTTAGAAACATCGATGAGAGAGAAACATCGATCAGCTGCCTCCTGCACACCCCCCACTGGGGATGTGCCCGCAACCCAGGTACATGCCCTTAACCAGAATCGAACCCGGGACCTTTCAGTCCGCAGGCCAACGCTCTATCCACTGAGCCAAACCGGTTTCGGCAGGATGCAGCTTTTTAAAAAGTGTATGTTCTCAGGCTCTTGATCCTTGGGATTTGAGAAGATTCAAAAGAACACATCTCAAAATTAGCTAAAGTTATCTGTCTTGTTGCAGAAAACACAGCATGCTGATACCCAGATGAGAGCCAACACTTCTACATAATCAAAATATATTTAATCTTAAACTCCAGTAGTTATAACTAAAAAAATCACTGAAGAAAAATAATAATAATAATAATAATAATATTTTCTGAATCCTAACAAAGTTTGACAAAAATGAAGAAATGTGACTTTTCCAAATGTCAGTGAAAATGTGGAACAGCAAGGACTCTTTTACACGTTACTAGTGAGAGTGTGAGCTGGAGCCACCACCTTGGAAACCAACGGGGCACTATTTCATCTGCGGCCTCCCAGCTGTCCTGCTCCTGGGAATATACTGGGCAAGAGCAACCCAAACACAGGTTCACGCTCACAAGCAAAGGAAGGAGCTGACATTACAACTGGTTTCTAAATTCATCTTTCTAGGTGCCCGGCTATTTAAAGTGCTTGCAATGTGCCCAGAACAAATTGAGATGTTGGAATATGTAATGATTATATACTAAAATGATAATATTTTTATATATTGTGTTAAATAGTATATAGTATTAAAATTAAGTTCACGTTTTTTGTTTTTTTACTTTTTCTATTATGTTCTATTATAATCTATAGCTACTAGAAAATTTAAAATGATATACGGGGCCTATATGTGTTGCTCACAGCACATTTCTATTGAAACCACTGGCCTCTGGAGGCCCACACTTCCTGGGATGGTCTGTCCTCAGGTCGCACGTCCCAAATTGAAGTCAACATCCCTGAGCATCTGAAACACCCGAACCGCAAACCCTCATTCTTACACAGTCGCCCTGGCTCCACATGTCAGCGACATCTTTGAACCCTCCTTTGCTTCACCCTCTCCACTGCCTTTTTTCGCTCTTATTCCAATCTCATCCTAGTTCAGCTCCTCCACGCATGTGAATTTAGTAATAACAGACACCCAGATGGTGGGTTAGCACATCACAGATGCAGCAGCCTAAATCCCAGCTCTGATCAACCAGCTATAAAAACTTCAACTTGGTCTTATTGGACTAGGTTGAATCACAGGTAATTCTTAAATCAATTATTGGCAAAGGAGGTAGAAAAAGCCAGGTTTGGCTTATCAGACAAATTTATTCCCTGGGGCTTAACCTGTGGTCTTTGACCAAATTAGCACTTAATACCTAAACAAAATTATGGTCCTATAAATAAGAAAAGGGGAATGGGTAGTCAACCAGTAATTAGACAACATATCTTCTGAGTCCATAATTTCTTTCAAATGATTTTTTCCAAGGGATTTATTCAATAAAAGCAATAAAACAGCTGCACAAATAATTGACTGTTCAGTGAAGCATTATCTACACCATAAGAAACTGTGAACACATGAATCTCTAACATCAGGCGTGCAGCTTGATAAAAGACAAATATTTCCTTCCTTCCGTATGGGTCTCAAAGCTCCCTTGACCAGTTCGTTATGAGGCTGATCAGAAGGCGCAACCGTGCAGCATATCCATGCACTGGCTAAAGGGAGGCTCTGGCTGTCCAAGTGTCCTGTTCTTTGTTTGTCCTTCTCCCTTGCTTAAGGAGTAGAATAGCATGTTTAGTTCATATAATAGTTCATATAAGACTTAAGTGAAGAGAACAGATTATAAGGTAGTATTATGTACATAAACATTATTCCCTTCATTAATAAATATGAATTTATCATACTCATGTATTATACACCAAATGTGTTTTAAATTAATATATCTACATGGTATCTTCTAATGCTGGTTCATAGTCCTGTGAAATGAACACTACCTCCCACTGTGGTATGCAGATGACCCGAAGATATCCAGGTCTCATCCCGGGAACCTGTGAATATATTATCACACATGGCAAAACAGGACATAACAGCCCTGGGCGGGCGGCTCAGTTGGTTGGAGCATCGTCCCAATATGCCAAGGTTGTGGGTTGATTCTGGTCAGGACATGTACAATGAATGCATAGGTAAGGGGAACAACTGATCAATGTTTATCTCTCTCTCTCTCTCCTTCTCTCTCTCCCTCCCTTCCTCTCTCTCTAAAAATAAAAATAAAATTTTAAAAAGGACATAGTAGATGTGATTAGCATTAAGGGCCTTGAGGTGGGAGATTGCCCTGGATTATCCAGGTGGGTTCAATGTAGCATCACATGGGTCCTCAATATCTGAGAACCTTTTCCAGCTGTGGTCAGAGGAAGACATGACTACAAAAGAATGGTCAGAGGGATAGAATGTTTCTGGTTTTGAAGATGAAGGAAAGAAGCCATGAGTTAAGGAATGTAGATGGATGGCCTCTAGAAATGGAAAAAAAGCAAAAAAGTCAGTCTCAGATTCTCTTTCAGAGCTTCCAGGAAAAAAATGCAGCCCTATGGACACTTTGATATTAGCCCAGTGAGACGATGTCTGGCTTCTAACCAACAAAACTGTAAGAGAAATTTGTGTTGTGTTGTTTTAAGCCACCGAGTTTGTAGTAATTTGCTAAAGAGCTGCCGCAGGAAACTAATACACCCACAGAGTGAGCGCTCAGCAACTGTTGAGAGGGGATGGGGAGGAATGAGCTTGAAAATGACTTATTCCCTCTCATAGATAACACATCCTAGCAAGCTTGTTCACTTTCTTAGGAAGCTTTAACCTAAATAAAGTAAAAGTAAGCTTCATCCTCACCCCTGTCTAAATGATCTCAATTTCTAAATTTGCAACATGTAAAAGTGAATTCTTGTTATTCTAGTGACATCAGTTAGATTTCAGTGTATTTGACTAAAAGGTATAAAACTGTATTTTCAATTCAGTTGTCTTTATATAAAAAAATATGTGGCTAGTGCCCTGCCAGTGTGGCTCAGTTGGCTGAGTGTCGTCCATGCACTTAGGTCACGGATTGATTCCCGGTCAGGGCACATGCCCAAGGTTGCAGGCTTGATCCCCAACAGGGGGCATACAGGAGGCAACCAGTAGATGGTTCTCAATCATTGATGTTTCTCTCCCTCTCCTTCTCCCTTCCCTCTCTCTCTCAAATCAATAAATATATTGATTTGAAAAGTAATTGCTAGCTCTCTCTCAAATCATTTGGGAGAGAGCTAGCAAGTATTTTTTCTTCTTTTTATAAATAATTGGAAAGGTTTCATCTAGCTCTTTCAGCCCTTCATCTTGTCTAATAATTAAATACATTTCACCATTAACCATCTTCCTGAAAGTGTTCTGAGCCTGGTCTAGAAAGATTTAAATTACATTTCCATTTTCCCTTATATAATAAAGTATTGAATTTCTCCAAGTTTTTATAATCAGGAAAATTTACAAAATCACTTATTAAAATGAGATTGAAGTCACTTTATACAGTTCTCCTTAATTATTATAAAATTAATTTTATGAGGCTAGTAATACTAAATAACTTTCATTATAGGTTTCATATGCCTTACATGGATTAGTCGACTGTAATTTCCAGTGATTTCCTATTGACAATGCAGTGATTATGGCATTATAAAGCCAAGCTCTGTGAGCAAGAGCTGGCATGTGAAGAGAGACAGTCCAGCTTTCCCCAGAAATAATGAGATGTGCAAGAGGAAGATAATTTGAATTAGAGGTAGTGAGTATGATATTGCCATTTCCAAATGGCAGCAAGGATGGAAGTAGGACCCCAATTTCCTCATATAATTCTGAACATAAATGCAAGTTAGCATCCATCTGTTGAGGTCCCTATGTTCAGGGAGCTAACCAGTCATTATGATTTTTGCCAATCTCTTTTAGATGGCCAGACTTTGGGAGAAAAACTTTGGTGTGAATATGCAGATTTCTGGTAGAATTAATTATTCCTGTTAAGTCCAATTCTACTCCTTATAAAGGGAGGACAAACAGAAAACAGGATGCTGGGACAGCACAGAGGCTAATTTTTATTTTAGCGAACACATGTACACGCTGTACGACTGCTCCTTCCAATCAGCCTCATATGATGAACTAGCTGTCATAGGAGCCTTGGGGCCAATTCTGGCTGATCAGAGGGGCTCGCTCTTCCACCAGCATCTTCCCCAGGGTCCATGTGACTCTCCCAGACCTTGAGCCTCTCCCCTGGTTATCAGCAGGAAGAGAGAGCTCTTTTTGTACCTGTGATAACCAGGAACACAACTCTATCAGTGGCTGCTAAATTCGCTACCTCTGGCTAGTGTCAAGGGCAATTACCTTGCTCCATCCTCAATGAAAAATAATGATTTGCCCCTTTGCCAGTGATAAGGATCTTTTTAAATGTGCAAAGCACACACCAAGGGAGACTGCTTTTCGCATTCTGCATTTGGATTTTATTTCCTGCGGCAGGGTTTGTACCTACACATTCAAAAATCTTCAGTACTTCGCTTCTTGGTTCAAAAGTACCATGGCTTCTAGGCTATAAATACCCATTGAAGATGATAAATGGGTGAACCCAGAAAAATTAATGTGGGGGGAGGAAAATAAAATTGGTCACTTGCCCTTGGGCTCCATT